GCTATCACAGGATACATAAAATACATCTCAAGAACAAATGGGGAAGGAATGTGAAAAACAGGGCACAAGAAACACCATAAAAAAATGTTTCCATCGAACAAATGGAATCTGTGACCAAATATATTGCCTTAAATGAAAACAATGAGTGATTGCGTGAGTTAAACAGTTGCATGAAGCAGAGATGTAAGTGCTTGGAAAAGAGTTGGTGAAACAACAGAATGAGATGGAACATAGCAAAAATCTTTTCTTATTATCACTGAACTGGGGAATCCCCTCAGAAATGTGACATAAAACTTAGAAGCTATAAATGGAAAACAATAAAGATTGATGTGTTATCTATATAAAAGTAAAAAGAAAAGAAAAAATAAATTGTACATGTCCAAGAAAAACCTTTCAAAAAGTCAAAAGAAAAATGACAAATGGTGGAAAAAAATTGTATTACATACAACAAACAATTTCTTTTTTTCTTTTTTTTTTGAGACGGAATCTCACTCTGTCACCCAGGCTGGAGTGGAGTGGCACTATCTCAATTTCTTAACACTTAAAGAGTGCCAATAAGAGAAAAATTAGCAGTCTTTGAGGAAATGGGTAAAGTGTATGAAAACACAATTTAAAGAAAAAGAAATATGATTCCTAGGCACATGTGAATATGATTGCCCTTATGGTAAGGAATTATAAATTTAAAACATAAAGGGGTACATAAATAGAAGGGATATGTTCTAATATTCAATAATACAATAGAGAAAGTTAATAATTTATTACATTTCAAAATAGCTAGAAAAGAAGAATTGTAATGTTCTTAATACACAGAAAATATAAATGTTTGAGGTAATAGGTACCATGATTACCCTGATTTGATCATTACACATTGCATGTAAGTATCAAAATATCACATGTGCCCCCAAAATATGTACAACCATTATATATTATATAGTATATAATAATATATATAATATAGTTTTTTTCACTATAATGAGGATGCCATTTTTCACCTAGCTGTAGAAAAAGTAAATAACATTAATCACTATTATGGAGGAGCTAGGAAAATACCTAGTGTTACACAGCTGTTGCCTATGTGTGTATAAATATATACATTACATATATGTGCATGATAAATATGTACACACACATTACATATATGAGTATACACATTACATATGTGTGTATATGTGTGTGTGTGTGTGTGTGTGTGTGTGTAATTTATAAGGGGAGCATCACTTTGGCAGTATCTATCAAAATATACATGAAGGTGCCTCTTAATCTGACAATTCTATTCCTAGTAATATATCCTACTGACATACACGTACATTACAAAATAATGTGGGCAAAAACATGATAAATTTAAACTGTACTCTATCAGCAACTACATTAAGTGTAAATGATAAATATCTTAATTAAATGATAGAATTTGGGTAAAAATACAAGATTTAATTATATGTTGCCTATAACAATTACACTTCACATATAAAGAGGCAAATAGCTTAAATATAAAAGAATAGAAAAGTATATAACATGCTAACCCTAATTAAAAGAAAGGTGGTGTGCCTACGTTAATATCAAAGTAGATTTTGGAGAAAAGAATATTACCAGGTATAAAGAGAGTCATTTCCTAATGACACAGAGGCCAGTTTCTTAAGAGGATATAACAATCATAACATTTGTACACCTTATAACAGAACTTCAAAATATAGGAAGCAAAACTAACTATTTTAAGAAGTAGACACTTATGTTCAAATATTTTAACTCTCTCTTTTTAACAATTGATAGAGTAAATAAACCAAAACTCAATAAGTACATAGGACACTTGGACAATACTGTTACCAAATGAACCTAATTGTCAATTGCAGAACAGTCTGCCCAGCAACAACAGTGTATACATTCTTTTTAAGTGCATACACAGCATTTGCTAGGATAGATATACTGTGGGCCATAAAATAAGTCACAATAAATTTGAAGCTATGGAAGTTATACGAAACATGTTATCTGATACAATTATATTAAACTGTGATAATACAGATAAAAATAACTGGGACATTCTCAATTATTTGAAAGCTATATAGCTTACTTCTAAATAATGGATGTTTTAAAGAAGAAATCAAAGGGAAATTATTTTTAAGTGGATGATACTGAAAATGCTTAGAGGGAAAGTAACAGCATTAAAGGATTATATTAGAGGAGAAAGAAAGTATGAAAAATGACTTCAATTTCCACTATAAGAAACTAGGTAAAGAAGAGCAGATATCCTGGAATAGGCGAAAGAAAGGAGATAATCACTAAATCCTACTAATATTACTCACCAAATTTTTTTCAAATCTGTCCACTTTTTGCTATCCCCACTGCTACTAATGTATAATTTACTTTCTCACCGTTGGTTATGGCTAGTCAGTGGACCATGGTGGGTAAGAGTGGAGACTAGGGTGACCCCCACTATGATGTGCCCAGGACTAGGGGAGAAGATTGGGAAGAGGCAGGGCTGGGTCCTGAGATAGTGCTTGAAGCTGGGAATGTCCCAGGCAAACCAGGATGGATGGTCATAGGTTTTGAAACCAGACCTTGGACTTGAATCCCTTTCTTATCACTTATAAAGTAACAAGTGACTGATCCTCTTGTGGCTTGATTACCTCTCCTGGAAATGAGTATTATAATAGTACCTACCTTAAATAATTAATGTGAGAATCAGATGAGTTAATGGATGTGTGAAGTACTTAAAGCATATAGAGCACTGAATTTAAGTTGGCAGTGATGGCCTTGGTGATAGTGGTAGTTCTGGATGGAGATTTTTTTTTCTAAGTTCTAAGCATTGGCCTCATATGTCACTCTTTCCTTCTGGACTTACCTACATCAGATTTTCCTACACATACACCAGAGTTGTCTTTCTAAACTCCAATATAAACTTACCAATTTTCTGCTTAAAATATTTCAGTGGCTCCTTAATACCCTTAGGGCAAAGCCCACAATTTATAATACCCAGCATTACTCATTTTCATGATTCTCATAATTCTTTCTTCCGTACTTCACTGGTTTTTCTCTTCTTTAAGCCTTTGCATGTGCTGTTGCCTCAACTAGATCTTCTTTCCTGTGTCCTCCAGCTGTTTCTCCTGACTAAACAACTCCTGGCTCATTACCTTACTAACCTCAATTTCCAATTTCCCCGACCTCTCCTCCACACTTTCCCTATCAAAAGTAACTTAAGATGGCTTCCTGTGTGCTATATCTGAAGTGGTACTTATTATGTACATTATTCTAGTATATTGTGTTCTATATGTATTGTACTATATGACTAGGTTACTGATTTTTCATCAGCCATCTTTGTGCTCATAATGGACAAAATATATGTGTAAGATACAATAGAGTAAGTTTTCCCAAACTCAGCACGTTCCTTGCCAGGATTACCCCACCTTCCCTTTACCCTCCTGTATCAGTGTGATTGGTTCCTCAAAACTTAGTTCATCTTGAGCACCTAATATATGAATATTATTCTGACATTCTCTTCCTTCCCTACCTAATGCACTTCAGTTAGTCATTTCTTCTTATCTTGTTAGCAGTTTTACTGCTTTTTCTCATAGCACTGAGACCACTGCATTGCAGTTCATTGATTTTCCATTCTAGCTTGCAACAATGTCAAGTCTGTAGGTTCTACCGTGGGCACTGTGCTAGGTTGTGGGGCTACACTGATGAGCAAAACCAATTTAGTCTCTCTTCTCTTGATGCTTACAGCTAAAGAGAAATAAAAAAAGACATTAAATAATTAAATATAAAATTGAAAATTTGATAGTGGAGTGGAAAAGAACTGTATTTGACATTATGAAAGCATGTAATAGGGATTTGACCTTGAGAAGGTTACTCTAAAAATTGAAGATAAACTATATGAAGAGAGACAGGAAGTGCATGTCAGGCAGAGGAAACTGCAAATGAAAAGGCCCACGTGTGATCGTGTCTCATGAAGTCATTGAAAGAAGGCTAGTCTGGCTGGAATAACATTTGAAGTGACCCTGGCTGCAGTAGAAACTCACAAGAGGGGAGCTGTTGGAGGCATGTAGATTGTTAGGGTAGCCCAGGTAAAAGAGATGAAGAATTGAGGTAGTTTGGCCTACAGTGATGATGATACTGGATATTTGAGATTTTTTTTAAAAGAAATATTGATTCTTACATGGTGATAAATTAGATATTGGTGGCTATTACATTGAAAGACTAAGAAAACAGTTTTAGAAAACATTATTTGTAAGTTTCTGGTGTGCATAACTGGATGGATTATTTCCTCTTCACTGTTGTATCTGCTCAGCACATTGTTGACCCCACAGCACACATCAAGTAAATATTTGTTGACAATGAATGAGCATTGTTGTATTTATGAAAACGTTATATTCAACTACAATATAAGTTACACGCATAGGAAATGCATTAATTAATGGAGTAAAGCATAATACTTTGTTATTTACTTTGCAATTTGAAAATACGTCAAATGGGATCTAGAATATAGTTGATCTTTGTAGTCTTTTAAAATAAAATTTGTGAAAGACGACCTTGTATAAATTGCAGTAATTTTGTGAGAAAAATGGTGATAAAATACTTCTAAATTCTACAGAACTCTTGATATTTTTCTTTTTATTAAGGTGATCCCCAGAGTTTGTTTTGTTTTCCACTCTGCAACACATTTTAGCTTTGTCATAAGGAAATCACACTTTTTATCACTGACTGAAAAGAATCAGAAAGGGAATTTTGAAATATAGTTTTCTTCAGTTCTGAATGCCTTTGTTAATTATGCTGAATTACACACATGCACCCACACACACTCTTTATTGTTCAAAATGCTGTAATTGGAAATACAAACTGTTTGGGACCAGCATTGTACTTAAAGTAAGGAATTGAAACTTGTATAATATTTTTTTTCTAATACCTTATTTTATTCTTAAAGAATTTATAATTAATACTCTAATGGTTGAATAATAAATCTTATAGCCACTTAACATTCAAAATGCTCATGTGTATGTGTTTTACAGATGTGTTCTACTCCCTCTACTGGGAATGAAGCCTCCCCAGCAAAGCCTATACCTGCTTGTTGATTCTGTTGATGAAGGGTGTAACATTACTGAAGGTGAACAAACGTCTACCAGCTTATCTGGGACTGTTGCAGAACTTTTAGCTGGTCACCATGAGTTCTTTCCACCATGGCTATTGCTTCTCTGTTCTGCCCGAAAGCAGAGTAAGGCTGTTACTAAAATGTTTACTGGTAAGCATACTGCCATCCTCAAATGCTTTTCATTAATGCACTAGTTTCTTAGAGGGAAAGGAATGCAGTTGAAAATCTGCATGTTGCATTTGCTCCTTCTATCAGCTATTCTCCACTGTGCCTTTTGAAATTTATATAAAAAAGCCTTAGCGTGTTTTTAAGATCATTTAAACATTACCTTTTTTTCAAGATTCTTTTCCTAAGTTCTTTAGTAAAGGTTAGGAGTATCTCATGCCATTATTTGCTGCTCTACATCTTGGGGCTCTATTTATTATGCTGTTGTATCATGATCAGTTTAAACCTTTTTCTGATGTTTCAGATTACAGTCTATATAATATATAAAAGTACACTATCAGAGTTTCTTTATTTTTTTTATTTTCTCTTACTTTTTCTTACTTTTCTTTATTTACTACCATAATAAAGTTGTGGTTACTCCTATTAGATTATGTAACACACTCCTCTTTGTCTTGTGGGAAAAAAAAAGGAGTGTAAAACAAGGACCTGTCACAGGATATATAGTGTAATTGGAGAGACATTAATTAAGTTAATGGTTAATTGGTCATATAACTTTTGAGTAGTTCTATACATTTTACAGTATGTTGAAATCTTACTAGTTTGTTAAAATAATTTTCTATAATCTGCTTTATTCCTTCTTTCAGGTTGTCCCTCTTCAATTCCTTTGCTACTAATGGCAGCACTTTTGATTTCCACATATGGCATTCTTTTTTGTTGTTATTGATAAAAATGTAGTTGGTAAAAGTTTAGTAATTTAAATGACAATAGCTAACACTTATATAGCACTTAGTATGTCAGGCGTAGGTAAAGTAGAAGCCCCCTTTTGGCCTATGTCACCATTCCTTTCTTTTCCTCATTAGAGAAAACCAGTATTATTAACTTATTTTATATGCTTTCAGCTCATATTTTATATTATGTATGTTCATAGTTTACATAAATGAAACACTGCATACACCACCTTAGCTTTTACCACTCACTAGCCATGTGACTTTACACAATTTATATTCTCTGTGCCTCTGTTTCATTGTCTATAAAATGAGGATTTTAATATTACTTTTCTTATAGGATTTTTGTAAGGTTAAATGACAAATTACATATGAAGCACTTACAACAATGCCTAATACATAGTAAGTGCTTCAGAAATATATCGTTGCTATTATTATTTCTCTTTTTTTTTAGCAAACATTATTTTTGAGCCATATTCATTATAAATGCGTTTCATTGGTTTTAATTGGTAGATAGTACTCCTTCCCATCAATAAACCTTCTATTATTTTTCCATTATCCTTTTCATGGACATTTACATCATTTTCAGTTTTTTGCTGTTACAAAAATGCTTCATGAACATATTTGTTCATGTATTCTTGTCCATGTGTACTGAAAGTTTATGTTATAAATATAGACTTGTAATTGTTGGATTATAGAGTATGTATATTTTGAACTCCAGTTAATTTTCTTTTTTTTTTGAGACATTCATTTAAAATGTTGGGCTGTATATAAACATGACCACCTCTCTGTTCATGGTAGATGTGGAATTTTGAGGTAAAAATATAAGGATATTGCTAAAGGTATTAATACATGTTGTCAAATTGCCTTCCAAAAGGATATATATCATTATATTCCTACCTGAAAATGTTGAGTGGTTTCTTTTTACTTGCGCCAGTATTGAATTATGTCTTTTTTAAATTTGTCAATGTGATATGTGGAAAATACGCTATCATTTTTATTTGCACTTCTTGTTTACTGTTGAACCCTTTCTCCCTTATGCCTGTTTCATCAATTTGCCTTTTTTCCATGAAGTTCTGCTATCTGACCTTTATGTTTTTATTGGGAAGTCAAAGTTATTTTCTTACTGATTTTCAGGGCTTTTATTTGATATTTTTTCAATTCTTTGCAACTGTTTTCTTCAGCTTTTTAAAATTGTAATGATTTTTTTGAAGTATATTATACGTAAACTAATGTATTGTCCTTTACTACTCTGTATTCTTACTTTACCTTTAATGATTTTGCCCGTATAGAATATTTTTTACTAAAAGGTATGAAATAAAGCTCTAACTTAAATAATTTGTAAAACCATAAATTTTCTCAGCAATTTATTGACTTCCTTTACAATTACTTGGTGATATTTTTTTCATCATACATTAAGTTTGGGTGTGTGTACATATAGATATGTCTGTGTGCTATTACTGTATTTCTAAACTATTCATCTGCTCTTCTAAACTATCTGTCAGCATCATTTTGCAAATAAAATATTGGCTTAATGTTTGTAATTTTCTTGTACAATTACTTCCCAGCCCTCTTTGCCACCAATATTATTATTTTAAATTATATATTTTTACTTGTATTCCTTTAGGTTGTAATATCATATTTTAAATTATAACTGTCAGTAATATAATCCAAAAAAATCAAGATTTTGATAAAATTGCAATTTAAATAAGAAATAATTTGCTGTTTAAAATATGCTTTCTTTCTACTCATAAACATAGCATATCTGTGCATTTATTCAGGTTTCTCCTTAGATTTTCCAGTTTTCCTTCTATGTGTTCTACACATATCTTTCTGGTTTTTGCTTATGCTTTAAGTTGAAATGTATGAGTTTCAAGCTGTGTGCATTTGAAATTATCATCATAGCCATAAGATCTTTACTGTGTCTAAATTGGCTTCATTCTACTCATATCTGAGGATTAAGCCTTTGGAAAGAGAGTTTTTACAACGTTTCTGATGTATTCACCATACTGATCATTAGCATTTTCATTAATGGCTTCAGATTAATCTAGTGAAAATCACTTTGGCACTAAGCAGAATTTTGACTACAACTAGGGTATCATCATAGGCTGATAGTTGTTAGGCCTTGTTATGGGACTTAAAGAAATAACAGCCTATTTCAAAACATTTTGTGCACAAAAAATTAACCTTCCAATATTTTTTAAAGATTATTTATGTATTTATTTTATCTGATTATAAAAGTAATACAGGCTCTATTTAGAACATATTTTAAATGAGAACATACACAAATATTATACCAGAGGTAAAATAATAATTAAGCATTCTTAACACATTGTATTAAATTCTGTATATGTTTCCCTTCCTAGTTGAGATCATGCTATATATCAATTTGATTTTCTGCTTTTTAAATTTAACATTGACAGATCTTTCAGTGTCACCATATTGTCTTTTTAATGACTATTTAATGCCTACATATTTTATTTGTATATTAATATGCTGGCATTTGCTTAAATTTCTTGTTAGGTTTTATTTTCATACTGCTTATCCTCACAGGTTCTTCATGATGATAAGTAATTTCAGTAAGCATCAATTTATAAATATTGGCACAGATCTTCTTTTTCACTCTGTTTTCACCAGTACTACGTGATGCCATACCCTGACAAATAATTGAAGCAAGAATAGAAAATAATAGAAATGTTTCAAGTAAGAATAGAAAAGTTCAAGTAAGAATGAAATAGAAAAATACTTCTATTCAAGTAAGAATAGAAAAGCAATAGGGAGGTAGGTGGTCCATCATTTCAGTAAGTCATGTTTTTATTCCCCTAGAAGGTTTGATTATTTTTCAGCCCTATCTTATGTTTAAAAGTGCTTTGATGGCAATATATTGTGTGTGTTCATAATAGGAGGATTACATGTGTATTAGTCAGAAGTTATAATTTTAAAAAGTAATTATTTTCAGTACCTTAATTCAAGATACTTAAGTTGTTGATTAATAGATATTCTTAATTCTGTTTTAATGACCAGATAACTATTATTGATAATGAACATAATAATTTCTTCTGTCTAAATTTCATATTATTAAGTATTTAGATTGGGGGAGATTTATTCTCTAAATTATAAATTATTTGTAAGTTTTCTTTATGAAATTCTATACTTTCTTATAGAATTAATCCTATGTCCCTAGTCCCTCCTCTTTATTCCCCTATCAAACACTTGAGTTTTCTTTCACAGTTTTCTCTTCTTGTTCCTATCTTAATGAAAAGAGCAAACTTGAAGTCAAACAAAACAATCAAAATTCTGATTTATCACTTTCTAGCTGTGTTACTGTGAGCAATTTATTTAGCCTTTCTGAGCTTTAGGTTCCTCATTTTTTTAAATAGAAATACTTATCTCACAGGCTTAACAGACAAGTTTATATAATGAGTACTTAAAGTGCTGCGTTAGAAATAGTTGACTCTCAGTAAAGGCTGCTCTCTTTTATTCTTTTCTGTAGAACCATTCCTGTTACTGTGGAGTTTCCATCTTAATAATCTCAAGTTCCAATCATGACATCTTAGTTAATTAGATTTAAATTTTAGATATTTATTCATAATTTTTTATATGATCTTTCATGTAAATAAGTAATGTAATATAAAGTATTACATAACTTCAGAAACTTTAAAACACTATATAATGTAAGATAATATTATTTCTTAAGTAACTTATTTTATTAGCAATGTACTAGGTATTTCCCTTATCTAACTTAAATTTTTAAGTGAATTGATAAAGCCAGAAACAAATGGACACACAGAAAAAGATTTGGAGGCAAATCATCTCACATCATTGGTAAATGTAGATTGCTGTAAATTTCTAGGTATGTTTTTAAACCCTTCTTTGGTGAGGAGTGACTTTTTCATAATTGAAATTTATCTTCTGAAATTATTTCTGTTAAGGATTTAATAATTGTGCATGTATACATATATATGTAAAATTAGATTCTATTTTTATATAGATTTAGGGCTATATAAATCTATATACAAAAGGCTGTATTAGGACAACTTTGTTATTCATATTTCATTCTTGGTAGGTTGTTTTTTTCAATAACTGTCCATTTTATCTACATACTTAAAGCTTAGTATTACCAAATTGAATTCATCAACTTTTTCTCCAGACCTATTATTTGTCCTTCAGTGGTCTCTTTTTCACTCCTGTTGGCAGAACCACAAGTTAATGTCAGCTTCAACTCCTCCTTCTCTCTTTAATTCTCCACATTCACCAAATACTATAGAATCTAGCTCTGATTAAAAATTCCCAAGTCCATCATGTTATTTTTGCTGCTGCTGCTACAACTGCTGCCACCACCATGGGTGTTCAGGCTCATAATGATTTTCATCTGGAGTTTATCACCACCTCTTTAAAAAAGGTTTTTCCTTTAGTCTTGACTTGCTCCAGTACTTCTTTAGATGTTAGAATATTCCTTCAAAATGCAAATCTGGTCATGTTAGAGACTTGGTAAGTTCATTCACTCAGCAGTTTTTTGTTCTGTAAGATGAATACACAATTATCTAATAAATTCATATCTGTACATCATAATGTCATCTCCCTTTAGACAGTGAAATTATGGCTTCCTTTAAAGAATTTAAAATGAGTTTAAAATAGCTATAGCTAGCATATTTTTAGGTTGGTTTAAGTTTTATTATTTATTTTACAGTGCTGAAGTTTTTTTACCATAATTTGGCCAAAAGGTTGGATCTTAATTGGTTCAAGCTATTTATTGATGGTCTGAGATTTAGTTATTTTAATTTGATAAAATGTACAGTAATGTAGTTTAAAGGCAATGACTAGATATTCTAATTGGATGTAAATACTCAGTTACATAATTAAGACTAGTGTACATTCAAGTGTATAGGTGAAAATATAAATTATTTATATGGAAAAGATTTCATAAAAAGAAACCTTACTTGTTACATCCCCTGCAACTTTTTTTCCTAATCACTTGGGAGTTCAGATAATGTTAACTGGGTACTTTTATGGTTATGTAAGACTGTCTGCGTCTTAATTAGTATCTATTACAATGGAGTTGAGAGAGGCACCAAGCTACTAAAGGAATAAGTAGTTTGATTTGTAGGTAGGAAAATGAAATTTTTCTGCCATCGGTGTGCTTTTACAGAAAGAAAAGAAAACTGTTTACATACTAATAGGTATTAATTGATCTGCTTATTAGTATTAATTTATTAATTGATTTATTTGTTTGTTAGTTTATTATGTTTATTATGTTGATATGTTGAAGACATTATCTTTGAAGATATGGTAACTTCTATAATCCTTTTCAACTGACGACATCTACTTTTTTATCTCTTCTTTAGGTTTTCGAAAAATAAGTTTAGATGACCTTCGGAAGGCATATATTGTCAAGGATGTTCAGCAGTACATTCTTCATCGTTTAGATCAAGAAGAAGCTTTGCGACAACACCTCACAAAAGAAACTGCAGAGATGTTAAATCAACTGCACATTAAAAGCAGCGGATGCTTTCTTTACCTAGAACGAGTTTTAGATGGAGTTGTAGAAAATTTTATTATGTTAAGAGAAATTCGTGACATCCCAGGAACTCTAAATGGCTTATATCTCTGGCTATGCCAAAGACTTTTTGTAAGAAAACAATTTGCAAAGGTTCAGCCTATTTTGAATGTGATTCTTGCAGCCTGCCGACCTTTGACCATAACGGAATTATATCATGCAGTATGGACCAAAAACATGTCGTTAACTTTGGAAGATTTTCAACGCAAGTTAGATGTCCTCTCCAAACTTCTTGTTGATGGACTAGGAAATACAAAAATACTGTTTCACTATAGTTTTGCAGAGTGGCTTCTGGATGTGAAACACTGTACTCAGAAGTATTTATGTAATGCAGCAGAAGGACACAGAATGTTGGCCATGAGTTATACCTGTCAAGCCAAGAATTTAACACCACTGGAAGCACAAGAATTTGCCTTGCACTTAATTAACTCAAACTTACAGTTAGAGACAGCAGAGTTAGCTCTGTGGATGATATGGAACGGTACACCTGTTAGAGATTCCCTTTCTACTTTAATACCCAAGGAACAAGAAGTACTGCAGCTGTTGGTTAAAGCTGGGGCTCATGTCAACAGTGAAGATGATCGCACATCATGCATAGTTCGACAAGCCTTAGAAAGAGAGGATTCCATTCGGACATTATTAGATAATGGAGCTTCAGTAAATCAGTGTGATTCAAATGGGAGAACATTATTGGCTAATGCCGCATATAGTGGCAGTCTTGATGTAGTCAATTTACTTGTCTCTAGGGGAGCAAATTTAGAGATAGAAGATGCTCATGGACATACACCACTCACCCTAGCGGCTAGACAAGGACATACTAAGGTGGTTAATTGTTTGATTGGGTGTGGAGCAAATATTAATCATACTGATCAAGATGGTTGGACAGCATTAAGATCTGCTGCTTGGGGTGGCCATACTGAGGTAGTTTCTGCACTACTTTATGCTGGCGTAAAAGTGGATTGTGCAGATGCTGATAGCCGAACAGCTTTGAGAGCAGCAGCATGGGGAGGACATGAGGATATTGTACTGAATTTGCTACAACATGGTGCTGAAGTGAACAAAGCTGATAATGAAGGTAGAACTGCTTTGATAGCAGCAGCATACATGGGACACAGGGAGATTGTGGAACACCTCCTGGACCATGGAGCAGAAGTAAATCATGAGGACGTTGATGGCAGGACTGCACTCTCTGTAGCTGCACTTTGTGTGCCTGCAAGTAAAGGACACGCATCAGTCGTTAGCCTTTTAATCGATCGAGGTGCTGAAGTAGATCATTGTGATAAAGATGGCATGACTCCACTGCTGGTAGCTGCCTATGAAGGACATGTTGATGTGGTTGACTTACTTCTAGAAGGGGGAGCAGATGTAGATCACACAGATAACAATGGTCGTACACCCCTCTTAGCAGCAGCTTCTATGGGTCATGCATCAGTTGTAAATACACTTTTGTTTTGGGGTGCAGCTGTGGATAGTATTGATAGTGAAGGTAGGACAGTCCTCAGTATAGCTTCAGCACAAGGAAATGTTGAGGTGGTACGTACTCTACTGGATAGAGGGTTAGATGAAAATCACAGAGATGATGCTGGATGGACACCTTTGCACATGGCAGCTTTCGAAGGGCACAGATTAATATGTGAAGCACTTATTGAACAAGGTGCTAGAACAAATGAGATTGACAATGATGGACGAATCCCTTTCATATTAGCTTCACAAGAGGGTCATTATGATTGTGTTCAAGTATTATTGGAAAACAAATCTAACATTGATCAAAGAGGTTATGATGGAAGAAACGCACTGCGAGTTGCTGCATTAGAAGGGCACAGGGACATTGTTGAATTGCTTTTTAGCCATGGAGCTGATGTTAACTGCAAAGATGCCGATGGTAGGCCCACACTTTATATCTTGGCTTTAGAAAATCAACTTACAATGGCCGAATATTTTTTAGAAAATGGTGCAAACGTAGAAGCAAGTGATGCTGAAGGAAGGACAGCACTTCATGTCTCTTGCTGGCAAGGCCATATGGAAATGGTGCAGGTTCTGATAGCATACCATGCTGATGTCAATGCTGCAGACAATGAAAAGCGCTCTGCTTTGCAGTCTGCAGCCTGGCAGGGCCATGTAAAAGTGGTTCAGCTTCTAATTGAGCATGGTGCTATAGTTGACCATACATGTAACCAAGGTGCAACTGCACTCTGTATTGCAGCCCAGGAAGGGCACATTGATGTTGTGCAGGTCTTATTAGAGCATGGTGCTGATCCAAACCATGCTGATCAATTTGGACGCACTGCTATGCGTGTTGCAGCCAAAAATGGACATTCTCAAATAATTAAATTATTAGAAAAATACGGTGCATCTAGTTTGAATGGCTGTTCCCCATCACCTGTTCACACAATGGAGCAAAAACCTCTGCAGTCAGTGTCTTCAAAAATGCAGTCATTAACAATTAAATCAAATAGCTCTGGTAGTACTGGTGGAGGGGATATGCAGCCTTCGTTACGTGGTTTACCTAATGGGCCAGCTCATGCATTTAGTTCTCCTTCAGAATCTCCAGATTCCACAGTTGACCGGCAGAAGTCATCACTGTCAAATAATTCCCTAAAAAGCTCAAAAAATTCATCTTTGAGAACTACTTCATCTACAGCAACAGCTCAAACAGTGCCAATTGATAGCTTTCACAACTTGTCATTTACAGAACAAATTCAGCAGCATTCATTGCCACGAAGTAGAAGTCGACAGTCAATTGTTTCCCCATCTTCCACAACACAGTCCTTAGGACAGAGTCATAATTCACCAAGTAGTGAATTTGAGTGGAGTCAAGTAAAGCCCAGTTTGAAGTCAACTAAAGCAAATAAAGGGGGGAAATCAGAAAATTCTGCCAAGTCTGGATCAGCTGGGAAAAAAGCGAAACAAAGTAATTCTTCACAGCCAAAGGTTTTAGAATATGAAATGACTCAGTTTGATAAAAGAGGACCTATAGCCAAATCCGGGACTGCTGCACCACCTAAACAAATGCCAGCAGAATCTCAGTGCAAAATTACGATACCGTCAGCTCAGCAGGAAATTGGTCGATCTCAACAGCAGTTTCTTATTCACCAACAAAGTGGGGAACAGAAGAAGAGAAATGGAATAATGACAAATCCAAATTACCATCTTCAGAGCAACCAGGTTTTTCTTGGTAGGGTTTCAGTCCCACGAACAATGCAAGATAGAGGGCATCAGGAAGTGTTGGAGGGATACCCTTCCTCAGAGACAGAATTAAGCCTTAAACAAGCTCTGAAGCTTCAGATTGAAGGTTCTGACCCTAGCTTCAACTATAAAAAGGAAACACCATTATAGAAGGTAATATTTTGTCAACATAAAGAGTAAAAAACAAAAGTATAGTTCCCTCTACTTGGAATGCTCTTTTCCCTGATCACAAGGCCAATTCCCTCAGTTAACCTCTACTCGGATGTCATCTGGGCCAGACCTTCCTCATCACCCCTTTACATCGGAATTCTCCTGCCTGTAGCAGTCCTTTCCCCCTTTCCTGCATTATGTTATCCAAAGCACTTACTATTTAAAATACTTGAGATGTTTTGTTTATTATATTTATTTTTCTCCTCTGTACTAAAAATACAACCTGTGTGAGGTTAGGGATTTTTATCTGTTCACTACCGTATTTCATGTACTTGGAATAGTACTTGGACCTATGGTAGTTTCCCAGTAAAAAATTGTTGAATAAGTGAACAAACGAATGAATGAATGAATATACTACTTAAAGATCCCAGATTAAGAAGTCTTTCCTATTCAGTTATTTCCTCCTTTTAAAAGAATTTTGATGGTGGCAGAGGGAGGGGCTGTTTCACACTCATCTTTCTGGTTTGAGTACAACAATGTCTGTAGCACTTAGTAGATAGTAAATATTAATTTCATTCCTTTTCACCCAGAAAGAAGTAAAAAACTTAGTAGAAGGTATTTTTTATGATCTCTTGATAATCTTCCAAGTAACGTTTTCACACATAAGGCATAGATGTGAAGAATGGTAAATGGATGTTTTTGCAATATTGGTATTTAAGGAACTTTATACCTAGATAAAATAGTCATATTTATTAAATAAAAATATTTTTTTTCCTCCCCATGACAAAGGATGCTTCGTTAATAATACAGGGGATGTTAGTAGGAAAATAGATATGAAAGTTTTATATTTTAGATGCTTTTTCAGAAGCACATTTCCTATGTTGGAGATAAATCTGAAGATTTTATTAGGGATCTTTCCTAGCTTACACTGCAGCTATATTTATCCCACTTTGCTTAATGACTTTTCTTCCTGCTTCTGTCTTTGTAAATATATTTTAGGAATATAATAGGTGAAATACTATTAAAGATAAATTCCCCATATCTTCTAATAATAAACAGCCTTCAGTGTGAATCTAGGGGTGACGAGTCAAATGTCATTCAAAAATAATTTGAATAAAGTAGTTAATTCAGTCCCCAAATGCAATTCGTTTTTAAAATAATTAGTTCTGATGGTGCATCGTTTCAACTTTCATGATATCTGTTGTAAAGGCAAAGTATAAATACATATTAAAAATGAAACACCTGAATTAAGGTAAACATTTTGTGGAATTTAAAAAGTGCCTTATAAGTAAAATAATAGTTAAGTCTACTGTGCGCTTTGCATGGTAAATATATAGATAAAGATAAGTAGAGGTAAATGTATTATATAAAGTTTTAAAATGATATGTAGCTCTATAATACAATGTAGAAATTAATTATTTTTTTTTTTTAATTTTTACCTTAGTTTCCTATTCTGTGAAACAGAAGACATTGTGATGGAGTGATTCTTCAGCTACTGGATGAAAACATGCCTGTTGATTTGCTGAAAAAAAAAAAAAATGAAGAATGTGATCTCTGCAGTACAGTTACCTTAATTACTGTAATGTGCCTAAATAGTAAGGCTGCCTTCTCAATGTAACCCTCTGTGCTTAAAAAATTTCATTTTGTGTGCTTTGTATTCACTACACAGGAATAAGCACTTTTTTAAAATGCAGATACATACTGCAGTTCCCTGATAAAAGCTGAAAAGAAAAATTGAGTATTTTAAGTTAAGATTTGATTTTAAAATGTGCATGTGCCATGATCAAATATATATGAAAAGGCAGTGTTCCTTGTATTTATTTTTTTTTGTTTTTGTTTTTGTGGCAAAAGAAACTTAAACATACTGTTTTAGTCACATTGCATTGTAGTGTATGGCCTGTTTCTTGTATCTTTAAAAATGTTACTCAATAAAACAAATCTTGCAACTGTTCTATGTTCACTACACCTTCAGCATTGGATAAAAATCAGTTTCTATATAAATATCACATTGAAAAGAAAAAATGATTTCTTGGCAGATTAAAAAAATACTTTGTAGTAGTTTAGGGAGCTGCTCTAAGTAGTTTAAATCTGGATTTTCCCAGTAGAATTCTTCTCATCTGTGGCTAAACATGTCAGAACAACCAACCAACCAGTCTGTAGGCAGAACAAAGTCCTATTTCATCCACTGGGATACAATTTCACCTTCCATTCACTTTGTCATTCCACCTCTAAGAAGACAGACTATCATTCCTGAGGCATGAAAATTCTCAGGGACAAAGCCATGCCTCAGTCGCATGTGTGTGCAGAGAGAAATGCACCTGTCTATCTAAGGGTAGATTTTTGATCCCTGAATAATTCATTGACTAAACTGACCTCTTCCACCTGGCTAAATAAATTAATTTTGCTGGCTTCTCTCAGCTGTTTCTATTTTGTAAATTGCTGCATGACCAAAATAGCCCCACTCAAAATCAATTGGATTAATTTTAATGGTTTGGTTGGATGAATGAGTATTCTTGATGAATATAAAATGTGCTGTCCTTCACAGATGACACCGCTCACCTGTCAATCATAGCACGTGTACTTTTTATTGTGACTTAATAGTGATGGATTTGCACTTTTCTATCCTCATACTCTTTCCTGTTTTCTTCTTTGTACATTTGCATGCAGGAGGGCTGGATGCCAGGGTTAAGAGAGAAATTCATGACAAGCAAGGTAAAATAGGTTCAAATGAGCATGTGACCCACAGCCTTAGTCTCCTTACTCTTAAATCAGTGGAGCTATAGCTTAGATGGGTCGTTTATATGTCTGGAAAAGTAGTCATAACAGTTCAGAAGCCAAGGTTGTGAATTTGATCTTAGAATGGGCCTGTTAATCTTATAGAACCCAGAAATTCTGTTCTTTTCATGTACTGTTGATAAGGAGGAATGAGGAAAGAGAATGTGGAGATTCAGCACAAAACCATTGCTACTTCTAGAACAAAATCTTTAAATGTCCTAGTAACAAAGGTCAGTAATGTCATCTTCATATATGAAGGACACATGTGATACATTGTTCGTGGAAATAGAAATGTGTTATGATAAATGTTTCACTTGAATCTTATTGTAAGGCTTTTCTTGCTTTTATTTTTTAAAGTCAGCAAAACTCATTTTGTCTATGAGTCATAGTGAGGACTACGAGATAAGATGATAAGTTCAATTGATATTAAGGTGACACGGCAATATTAATAACTCAAATGTGAATGTTTCAAGTATTGAATTCTTGTCCCTATGGGACATTTATTAAATACACTTAATAGGACTCTTGCAAAGTAGCCTTAAAAGTGTTAATGAGTCTATTAATAAATATGAACACATACTATTATTAGAACCAACTTTACTCATAAATACAGTACATTTACATTACTGTAGAGGATGAAGCTCTAATTTCTATTACATGTATTTTTCTTTAGAAAGAGAACCCTGAAAGCTGCCAGTTTTTCTATTAACTTTGAATTATTGAAATTGTATTTATTTAATTTTATTGTTTTTACAAAATTGCACCTTGTGTCCAAAGGGCAAAGATATGACATTGCATAAGGGATTTATGTTTTTCAAAGAGCTAAATGTTTTCATATCCATACTATATACACTTGAAGCAGTTGGTAGGAAGAGAACCTATTGGAAAAATACGATTTTCAAAAGTAAGTATTCCTCGGGATGTTTTTATATAAATTATGTTTTAGAATAGAACATAAATGACTTTGAGTTAGGATAAGGATGCTAGGATGGGTGCTGGAGATGCCCTGCTTTGCTTATTTGTTTCTGTGGGGGATTTAATACTATAAATGAAAATGGCTTCTGCTCTATTAAAAAGTAAAAATTGTCCTCCAAATATAAAACTCCTTAATAGATATTTTTGAAATTAGAATCTTTAAATTTTATAAATCAGCTGTTGCCACTACACAACTATGATGGCATGTGCTTGTAACATTTTTATAACATTCTGTCTGTGTCTATTCCCTAAATATCATGAGTTTATAATAAGGAAAGTGATAAAAATACAGTAATGAAATAAAAATCTGAATGTTTCTAAGAAAGGTTTTGGAAGGAAAAATGACCTGAAACCAGTGCGTACTGCGAAGTACAGCGAATATTTTTTGTTCTTTGTCTTCACCTTCACCCTCACTGGAATTCTCACCAAAAAATAGTTTGATACTTAAAAAAAAGTAAATACTTTTCTCAATATTGTTTTGGCTATGCAAATATTTGTTTTGCTTAATGTCCTCCATTTACACTTCTCAGCAAATGTAGTTGCAAACAAATGCTTTCTTTTTATTTTTCCTTTGGTTTGGGGTATGTAAATAGCCTAAAGTGTACATTGAATTTCACATTGTAAAAGTTTTATTTTATCCCTTGTATGATATTACTCAAAAAAATCCCTATGTATATGAAAGTGCATAATAAATATATTTGCTTTACAGAGAAAACCTTGTTTTAATTTTGTCCTTGAACCAGTAGAACATGCATGATATGCATAGAGTATAAACAACTATTGTTTTAAGTTATTATCTTAAATACATCCTGAGCAAATGAATTTGGAACCATTTTGCAAAGAAGAAAGTGAAATGTAACACTGTCCAAAGGAAGGTAGAAAAACAAAAAGATCTAGTGTTTGTCTTCCTAAGCCTTCTTAAGGACTTAATGTTCTTTCCCCCCGCCCCCTACGACTGATTATATACTACATCACACCATGTCAGGTTTTGTGCCTCTGAGAATTGCAGTAATCCAATAAATTTTGTACGTTCGTGCTCCTTGATCATCAGAATATTATGGCCATCTTATGGTGGATATTTTGGGAGTTTGTTGCAAACATGGTCATTCATTTTCTAAATAAAATTTGTGTGTTTCTTCACTCAGTAAACTTGAGTCACTTCTTCATGACCTCTTTCCCCTACCAGAACACAGCATACACACACTGTATGTATACACACACACAAATGGCTTTTTGAATCTGTGGGTTCCAGATCCCTGGATGCAACCAATCTCAGATAAAATATTCTGAAAAAAAAAATTCTAAAGTTCTGAAAAACAAATTTGCTGTGTGCTAAATACTACCTTGAGTCCACCTGAATGAAGTGATGTGTAGGCATTGTGTTAGGTATTGTAAGTAATCTAGAGATGATCTAAAGCATACAGGAGCATATGCGTAGATTATATATAAACGCTGTGCCATTTCATATAAGGGACAGGAGTGTCTGAGGATTTTGGTATCCAACAGGAGTCCTGGAAACAATCTCTCCATGTTTACTGATGAATGACTATCCTATTACTCCAAAGAGAGGTTTCTAAAAAGGCCAACAAGGTATCTTCTGTTCAATAATTTCATGAATATTGTAGTGTTCTGCAGTTTTTTTATGTTTGTTGAATTAATATAAATCTTATTCTAAAAAATAATATGACAAAATGTGTTTAAACACAAATATATAGTATACATAGAAGAATTTAAAAACAGACCGGTAGCTAAATAAACTTACATGGAGTTTTCTAGCTAATGGTCCAAGGAAATACACTATGAGAACTTGGTGATGACTAATGTTTTCACTTCTTTGCTGTAGCAGTTGGAAGGATTCCAACTACAATCATCCCACTGTATCCTGGGTGGATTGGTTCCAGGAACCCAGGTGGATACTCAAATCTGTGTATGCTCAAGTCCCACAGTTGGCCTCCTGTATTTGCATATTCTGCATCTCTCCAATATTGTATTTTCCATCCACAATTGGGAGAATCTGTAGATGCGGAATCCGCAGATAGGAAGGGCTGAATGTAATAGTGGTGAGATACACCCTGAGGATTATGTTGTGGAATTTCTGGGAAAAAATCATTTATTGTGCAAATATTTGAGCTAATCTTAATTCCTAGAGATAGCCTCTGCTTGCCAGTCTTGCTGTTATAGTAAAATTGTAATTATCCAATTTTAAAATAAAATTATTTGAAATTTACTGCATGTTTACATTTCCACTCTTAAATTCACACTATTATTACCACACTGGCAAAAGTTAGCTAAGTTTTGAGGGCTGGATTCTTAGAAGAATATATTTGTAATGTTTAGAAGACCCCTGTATGTGTATATTTTTTACTTATTATTGGTCTGGATGTGTGAACACTGATAATGGTATATATCCTGATAGAATTGATGCCACATTTTAATGGATATGTCTGTTACTCCCATTTCATTTGTAAACTTACATTGAATTCTAACATAGATATTTAGGAAAAACATACAAATCCTAAGTTGCTATGCTATAAACTTTTACAAATTGAACAAACCTATTTATCACCTGGATCAAGTTGTTGGCTATAACAATAATCTGAGAAACCTACCTTGCCACTTCCAGACATTACCCCCAAGAAAGAAAACCACTCTTCTGACTTTCATTACCATTAGTATTAACTGGTTTTGTTTTTTTCTTTTTAACTTTACATAAATTGAATCAAACAATATGTCCTTTTTGTGCTGGTTTCTTTCCCTTAACATTATGTTTGTGAAATTCATTTACACAGTTTTGTTTGTCCTTTTTGAATTGTTGCACAGTATTCCATTGTGTGAATATACCATACTTTTTAAAATATATTTTACTACAAATGGACCTTTGGATTCTTTCCAGTTTGGGAGTCTTAAGAATACTGCAGGTAATAATAGTCTTGTACATATCTTTGGTATCCATGTGCAAACATTTCTTTTTAATAATATGAATGAAATTACTGGATTTTAGTGTATGTGTATGATGAGCTTTAATAGCTAGTGCCCAGCAGTCTCCTCAAATGGTTTTATTAATTTTTACTCTCTATCTTTTACGCTCTACATCTTTACCAACATTTGATATTTCATTTTCTTCTTTTACTTTTCTTAATTCTGTTTGGTTCTGTACTAGCATTACATTGAGGTTTTAGTTTGCATTTCCCAGATGACTAATGAATCAGCCACTTTTACATACGATTTTTGTCCATTTGGATATCCTATCTTGTTGAGAAATTTGCACATTTTTTTCCCCTTGAGTTTCTTGGCTTGTAGAAATTCTTTTATATTTTGGATTTAAGTCTTTTTTATAGCATATGCAATGCAAATATCTTCTTATATTCTGTGCTTTGCCGTTTCACTCTCATAATGACATTTTTATAAACAAAGATTCTTATTTAATCTGATATTTTTAGTAGTTATGTTTTTGTGTCCTATTGTATAAAAATTGCCTATCGCAAGGTCATGATGATATTCTTTTATGTTTTCTTCAAATAGCTTTTACTTTTCTTAATTATCAAATTAATCCAGCATTACTTATTGAATAGTTTTCTGTCACTGCATTTTAGTGGTAGCTTTGTTATAAATCAGGTACTCTTTATAAGTTGATCTTTTTGTCCTTCCTTGAGCCAATATTATATCCACTTAATCACTGTAGCTTTATAATAAGTTTAATATCCGATAGTATAAATTCTCCCACTTTTTCCCTCAAGATTGCCTTGGCTTTTTTTTTTTCTTTTGGCCTTCTGCTTTACATAAAACTTTATAATAGGCTTCTCAATTATTTTTTTAACCTGAAATTTTAATTAGGATTGCACTGAATCTGCAGATAAATATGGTGTTGGGTGAATTGATTTGTTTATATTAATATCTTTACTCTTCCAATCAATGAAGCTCTTATATCTTTCACTGATTTAGATCCTCTTTACCTTAAATAATGTTTCTTATTAGGTTGGTGTGAAAGTAATTGCAGTTCTTGCCATTAAAAGTAATAAAAAAACGCAGTTACTTTTTGTGCCACCCTAATAGTTTTCTGTTGTAGAGATACGTGTTTCTATTAGCTGCATTCCTAGCGAATTTGTTGCTTACTGATGCTGTTGTAAATAGTATTTTATTTAATTTCCTATTCATTGCTGATATATAGAAATATAGTTTATTTAAATATTGATCAAGTTTATTCAAAAGTCTTGAAAATTTTATTTTTTTAACCAAGATATAACTTGCATACACAAAAATTCATTCCTTGAAAGTATAATTTAATAAGTTTTGACAAGTTGTACAATGTAATCATCACCACAGCTGAGATAGAGAATATTTCCATCACCTCAAAAAGGTTTTTTGTGTGCCTTTGGAATCAATTTTCTCCTCTTACCCCCAACCTTTGGCAACCATTGGTTTCATTTCTTAACAGTTTTAGCTTTTTAGAGATGTCATCTAAGTGAAATGATATAATAAATAGTCGATTGTGCCTGACTTATTTTACTTAGCATAATGCTTTTGGAATGCATCCATGTTTTAGCATGTATGAGTAGCATAGCTTTTTAATCCTGAGTAGTATTCTGTATTCCACTGTAGGCTTATGCCACAATTTGTCTGTCTATTCACAAGGTTGAGTTGTTTCCAGTTGTTGGCTAGTATGAAAGATTCTTCTGTAAGCATTTGTGTTTAGATATTTTTTATCAATATGTGATTTCATTTGTCTTGAGTAATACTTAGGAGTGGGATTCCTGGGTTGCTAGGTGTATAGTTAAAATTTATGAGAAACTAACAAAACCTTTTCAAAAATGGGTGTACCCTTTTGCATTCTCATCAGGAATGGATGAGTTTTTTTGTTTCTCCACATTTTCACACAAACTTGGTATTGTCAGTCTTTTTAGTTGAAATTTTAATTTAGATGATTGTAGATTCACATGCAATTATAAGAAATAATGGAACAGGATACTGACTATTTAAGAAAACAAGAAATGTGGCCAGGCATGGTGGCTCACACCTGTAATCCCAACACTTTGGGAGGCCAAGGCGGGTGGATGACTTGAGGTCAGGAGTTTGACACAAGCCTGGCCAACATGGTGAAAATATAAATACAAAAATTAGCCGGGCTTGGTGGCACATGCCTGTAATCCCAGCTACTCAGGAGGCTGAGGCAGGACAATTGCTTGAACCCAGGAGGCAGAGGTTGCAGTGAGCGATTGCACCATTGCACTCCAGCCTGGGTGACAGAAGAAGACTCTGTCTCAAAAAAAAAAAAAAAAAAAAAAGAAAAGAAAAAGAAAGAAAATAAGAAATGAACTTTTCACGAGTGACTCTATCACTTTATATTTTCACTGGCAATGTGTAAGTGCTCCAATTTCTTCATATCCTTGCCAGCATTTAGTGCTGTCATTATTTTCAATTTCTGCCATTCTCGTAAGTGTATAGTGATATCCTGTTATAGTTTTAATTTGTATTTTTCTAATGATTAATGGTGTTGAACATTTCTTCCTGGGTCTATTTGCCATCTGTGTATCCTCCTCAGTGAAATGTTTGTATCTTTTTCACTTTGCAATTGGGTTGTTTTTTTGGTTTGTTTATACTGTAAAGTTTTGAAAGTTCTTTATATAGTATAGATACCAGTTGTTCATCGGATGCATAGTTTGCAAATATTTTCTCAGTTTTGTCTTTTTATTTTGTCTCACGTCTTTTTATTTTCTTCACCTAGTCTTTCACAGAGCAAAAAGATGTGGTTCAATTTATCAATTTTTCTATAATGGCTTATGTTTTTTGTGTCATATATAAGAACTCTTTGCCTAGCCTAGAACTCCAACGATTTTTACCCTTTTTTTCCAAATGTTTTACAGTTTTTATACCTTACATTTAAGTCCATGATCTATTCTGAATTACTTTTTCTATAAGGCATGAGGTTTAGGTTGAGTTCGTATTTTTGCTAAAATATGAAATATAATGGGTGTCCAATTGTTCTAGCCCCATTTGGTGAAAAGTCAGTCCTTCCTTCACTAATTTGTTTTTGCACCTTTGCCAAAAATCAGTTGAGTGTATTTTTGTGGGTCTATTTCTGAGTTCTCTATTTTGTTCCATTGATCTGTGTGTCTATCCCTCTATCAGTACCACCCTATCTT